CCCGCAGCACCGGGGCGCCCCGTGTTCCCCCCCGCGGCACCGGGGAGCCCCGCACTGCCGCCCACAGCACCGGGGAGCCCCGCACTGCTCCCCCCCGCAGCACCGGGGCGCCCCGTGTTCCCACCCGCAGCACCGGGGAGCCCCGCGCTCCCCCCCGCAGCACCGGGGCGCCCCGCGCTCCCCCCCGCAGCACCGCGCAGCCTGGCCGGCGGGGGCTCCTGCCGGGCAGCGCTCCGGGCGCCCGCTCACCTCTCTCTTCATGTCGGGCGGGCAGCTCGGCGTGGCTCGGGACAGGAAGGAGGGGAAGTAGGTGTGCAGCGTCGCCTCCGGCTTGGCGCCGAACGCCAGCACCTTGAGCCGCGGGTAGAGCTGCCGCAGCTGCTCCTGCAGGCTGCGGGCTGCACGTCAGGGCGCTGCGCGGCAGTGCTGCAGCCCTGGTGCAGCCCGGGTGCAGCCCCGGTGCAGCCCTGGCGCAGCCCCGGCGCCACACACACCTACCTGGGCGGCAGCGAGTTGTTGGGCATGAAGGCAAAGTCGAGGAGGGGGAAGAAGTCCTTGGGCCCGATCATGCCGAAGCCTTTGGTGAGGTTCGGGTGCATCCTGCCAAGCACACACGACGCCGTGGCGGCTGTGCCGGGCGGGCACGGCGCCCCGCGCGCTGCCCCGCRCCCAGGCGGCCTGCAGTGCAAACCCAGCGAATCCACGTGCCACGTAACCAGAGACGCCGCGTAGACGGACACGGGTGGTTTCTAGCTCCGAAACGAACCCCGCTTGCTGCTGTTTAAGAGGTGCACAAACGGCCAGGCCCGGCCCGGGACAAAGGCGGCAGGGAATGAAGCCTGATCAAGGGGAAGGGAAACCTGCCCAGCTGAGGGAAAGCTAACTACGGAACGGGCATCGCTGCCCCGAGACGAGGCGTGCTGCTGCGCTTCGGTTCAATAGCCCCGGTACCCGCTCCCCGAGCGGCACCACGGCCGCGCAGCGCCCGGCGGGCCGCCCTCGCGCAGCGAGCAGGTAACTCACAGCAGCAGCCGCTCCAGGTAGGCCACGGCGAACGGGGAGAGCGCCTTGATGCCGAGCACGGGCAGCATCACCGCGAGCCACACTGCAGCGGAGGCACAGGAGAGGGGCGCTGCGATGGGGCTGCACGGCCCGCGGCGGCTGCAGCGCGCGCGCCAAAGCCCAGCGCAGCCCCTGCGCTGCTCGTCCCCGCGCGGACACGCGGCGGCTGCAGCCTCGGGAGCACGGCCCGTGCCCGCTGCGGCCGGCGGAGCGCGCAGGGGACAGGCGGGAGGGCTGCGGGGCCCTGCGGCACCGCGGGTCGCTGCCGCCCTCGCTGCGGGCCCGGGACGCGGCTGGAGGCGGCTCTTGGAGCAGACCCCACAGCAGCGCCTGCCTGACCCCAGCCCCGCTGCTGTCCCTGCAGCCTCCGCAGCTGCGGGGCGCAAGCGGGCAGCGGCTGCCGCGCAGCAGGGCGCTCACCTTTGAGGCCCTCGGCGAGGTCGGTGAAGCCGGTTTGTCCCAGCGCCCACAGGATGCTGAGGCACTTGGCCGGCCGGTTCTGGTGGGAGCGCAGCAGCTCCAGGTACTGCGCCAAGGGCGGGGGTCAGGGCAGGATTCGGGAACGCGCAGCCCGCGGCTAACGGAGCGCAGCGAGCGGCGCCGCCCGGTCCCTGCTCTGAGGCAGGGTGACACCGCGCGTGACACCGCGCGTGACACCGCGGCCTCGACAGGCAGCGGTGCCTTCATTCAGGCCACGCGCACACGGAAAGCGGGAGCCGTCTGCACGCGGGCCAGGACATGAACCGAGCCCGGCCGCCCGGTCCCGCCGGCCACGGGCCCACGTGGCCACCGGGCACCCGCAGGGCCCTCGGGAGCAAGGGAGGTCCCAGCGGAGAGGGGCGCCCGGGCGTGCCAAGGGGACCCCCCGCTCACCTTGCCCAGGTTGGCGGTGGCGATGCCGGGCCGCTCCAGCAGCACCGCCTGGATGCAGATCCTGTAGCCGTGCAGAGCCTCCCCTGCAAGGCAGCGCCCAGCGGCGCCCTCAGGCCCTCGCGGCCTCCTCCTCCTCCTCCGCGAGCAGCCGCTGCCAGCGGTGCCCGGCGCGCACAGGGGCCTCGCGGCGCCGGCCGCGTTCACGGGGGACGGGGGTCAGCGCCCGCCCGCCCAGCCAGACGTGTCCCCGCGGGCGCCGCTCACCCGGGCTCCTGTCCAGCTCCTGCAGCATGCTGTAGATGCAGTGGTCGAAGAAGAGGTCCAGCGCGGCCGAGGCCCGGCCCAGCAGCGCCCTCACGACGCCCCGCAGCTCCCTGCTCACCAGGCAGTAGGGATAATCTGTTGGAGGAGCGCGGGGCGCCGCGAGTGAGCGCGGTGCCCACGGCAGCCCCGGCACGGCCGGCACCACGCGCGGGCGAGAGCACGGCGCTGGCAACGCTGCCCCGCGCCGAGCAGCGGGATCGAAACACGGGCCGAGCKCTGCAGGGCACCTCTGCGCGAGCAAGGACATCTCCAGCGACAGGGACGCCGCTCGACCCTGTGAGCAAGAGGGAGGGACAGGGCCAGCGAGCTCCGCTCTTGCATAGCCCCAACATCCACTGAAACCAGCTCYGGCAGGAGCAGTAACGTACCAAGAGCCAAGGAAAAGAGCCCGGGCGCCTCTGTGCAGGGCGCAGGCAGAGGCCAGGGCCGGCCCCGGTGCCGACACGCGTCCTTTGCTCCTGTCACGCCTGCTCCCGCGCACTGTCCCTTCAGGGGTGTCCCTGCCCTAAGGGGCTGCCCAGGCGACGCCGCGGCCAGGCGGCCCGCGCACGGGACCGTGTGTGTGCGACGTCCCCGGCCGTGGAACGTCCCCGACCGTGTGCGACATTCCCAACCACGTGCAACGTCCCCAACTGTGCGGGTGTGACATCCCCAGCTGTGGAATGTCCCCAACTGTGTGCGACATTCCCAACCACGTGCAACGTCCCCGACTGTGCGGGTGTGACATCCCCAGCTGTGGAATGTCCCCGACCGTGTGCGACATTCCCAACCACGTGCAACGTCCCCGACTGTGCGGGTGCGACATCCCCAGCTGTGGAACGTCCCCAACCGTGTGCGACATTCCCAACCACGTGCAACGTCCCCGACTGTGCGTGTGCGACGTCCCCGGCCGTGGAACGTCCCCGACCGTGTGCGACATTCCCAACCACGTGCAACGTCCCCGACTGTGCGGGTGTGACATCCCCGGCCGTGGAACGTCCCCGACCGTGTGCGACATTCCCAACCACGTGCAACGTCCCCGACTGTGCGGGTGCGACATCCCCAGCTGTGGAATGTCCCCAACTGTGTGCGACATTCCCAACCACGTGCAACGTCCCCGACTGTGCGGGTGCGACATCCCCAGCTGTGGAACGTCCCCGACCGTGTGCGACATTCCCAACCACGTGCAACGTCCCCGACTGTGCGGGTGCGACATCCCCAGCTGTGGAATGTCCCCAACTGTGTGCGACATTCCCAACCACGTGCAACGTCCCCGACTGTGCGGGTGCGACGTCCCTGACTGTGTAACATCCCCAAACGCGTAACATCCCCGATCACGCGTGTGCAACGTGTGCACCGTGTGGGTGCAACGTCCCCAACCACGTGTGCACCGTTCCTGACCGTGCACAGCCCTCATTGCTGACCACGCGTGTAACATGCCTGAGTGTAACGTCCCCAAACACGTAACATCCCCAATCATGTAACATGCCTGAGTGTAACGTCCCCAAACACGTAACATCCCCAGTCGCGTGTGTGCCTCGGCCCCGACCGCGCGTGCAACATGCCTGGCCATGCACGGGCCTCATTGCTGACCACGTGTGCAACGTCCCCACCCGTGTAACGTCCCCCACGTGCRTGCAACGTCCCCACGGCGCGCGGGCCGCGCCACTGACCGTGCGGGTGCTGGCTGAGYGCCGGGTCGCTCTTCGGCGCCTGCAGCTTGTAGTTGAGGTAGCCGGCCAGGTCCTTTAGCCACACGGAGGGGTTCTCGGGGAACATGTGCTGACTTTTGTCCAGCTCCCTCTGCAGCTCGGCCACGTCGAGCTGCGAAACACGCACGGGGGGATCGCCCGGCACGCGCAGACCGCGGCGCAGCAAAGCGACACGCGCGGCACGGGAGCTGAGCGGAGGGCGAGGGGGCGCGAGGGGCGCCGAGCCCGAAACCCTCTTTAATTCTGTGCTTGAAACGAGAGGAAGAAAGCAACCAACGCCCCATGGCGCAGGCAGTGCCCTCAGCGCGGAGCCGAGGCGGCCGCAGGAAGCCCCGGAGCGGCAGCAAAGGGGCGGCAGGGAGGGGAGCCCTGCCCCGCACCGGCACCGCGGCCCGACGGGCCGGACCCGGCGCCGGCCCTGGCTCCGCTCCCGCTSCTGCTTCCCAGTCCTGGCCCCGCATCCCGCTCCCGACCCCGTGCCCTGCTCCTGGTTCTGTGCCCGCTCCTGCTCTCCGCTGCCCAACCCCAGCTCCACATCCTGCTTCTTGTTCCGCTCCCCAACTCCAGCTCTGCTCCTGGTTCTGCTCCCGGTTCTGCATCCCGCTCCCAGCTCCACTCCCCAATCCCAGCTCTGCTCCCGGTTCTGCTCCCGGTTCTGCATCCCGCTCCCAGCTCCGCTCCCCAATCCCAGCTCTGCTCCCGGTTCTGCTCCCGGTTCTGCGTCCCAATCCCAGCTCTGCTCCCGGTTCTGCTCCCAGTTCCACGTCCCGCTCCCAGCTCCGCTCCCCAATCCCAGCTCTGCTCCTGGCTCTGCTCCCGGTTC